TGTGACAACTCACCCAAATCTCTCGTCGGCTTGCTCTGAGCCCACTTTACTGCGACGGAGACCTGCGGAGGAGGGGGCGGGGGTCCCCAGCAGGACCAGCGCCGCCCAGGTGCCATGGGGGGGGGGGTTGGGGTCGCCCCGGATACACGGCAGCCGTTGAAACCGTGGAGCAGCGTCCCTCGGTCACGCAAAACACCCACAAGCTTCAGGACCCCAGGCTCCTTCTATGTTGTTGCTCGGCCGTTTCCGGTCCGGCGCCTGGTCACCACCCGCGGCCACACCGCAGTCCCTGGGGAGGAAAAAGGGGGCGGGACGTCTTCCCTTTAAGGGCGCAGGCGATCACGCTGCCCGCATCCCATGGGCCAGATCTGAACCACGTGGTCGCACCTTGCTGCGGGGCCAGCTGAGCGCGAGAGGTGCCACCTGTATTCTCGGCCACCGGGCACCTCGATTGGAAAAACGGGGGCCGCTTCTGAGAGGACCGGGTGTTGGAGGCCGCTGGCAGTCCCCGTCACGGCTGGCCTGCGGCAGGGCAGTGACCGGCACCTAGGGGTGCCTGACCTAACCCAGGCCCTTAACCACTCCTCCTATTACTGACATCGTCATTTGACTTAATCCTCAACTCTCCCGGCAAAGTGGGTATCATTGGCTTCGTTTGACAGAAGATGTATCTGAGGCTCAGAGAGGTTAATTAATGTACCTAAGGTCACACAGCTGTATATGCAAACGGATGTGGGTTTTGCTCCAAATGCCAAGCAGGAAGGAGGTGGACCTAGGAGTTTTGAGCACTGCCAGTCCTCACCCCTGAGCTGGCCAGACAAGAGCGGGAGTCTACCAGAGGGCACAGCCCCCCTACGCAGAGCGCCCCCCTACCCCCTCGGAAAACCTCCGCCAGTGTCTAAAGCAGCAGACCCAGCCCATTAGCCAGCGGTGCTGTGCACCAGCCGCTCTCCCGGCCTGATGGATGGGAGTCATTAGCCCAGGCTGCCGGACACCTGAGCAGCGTGAAACACGGAACAAGGGGCTCTGACTGTTTGGGCTGACAGTGTTGTTAATATCTCCATTTTAGTGGGTCATTTGTCTCCACCTCGCCACAAGCGATAAATCCACCTGCACTCCAGGGCTGCGGAGGAGGCGGCTGGGACGTTCTCTTCCACCTTTTCTCATTTCATCCCAGAAAAATGAATTACACTCTTTAAAGGGAGACAGGATTGGCCGGGCAGGAACCAAAATGCATCTTTGCAGAGAAAGGAAGGCTTGGCTGGGGGGGGCGGGGGGGGGGGTGCTGGGGCAACGGGAAGGAATTAAAGAAACGGCATCCATCGCCCACGATGGATGCCATTCTGCTTCCTTTGAGCGAAAGAGGAAAGAGATGTGTCCACTGAGGACTTAGAGAAACTCACCTTCCCAC